CTCTACTCCTCACTAGTTTTATTCTGCATTTCCTTCGGTACCTTTCCTTTCAGTATGTTGTTATTCTACTATGCAAATTTGAAACCTGGCCCTCTGGTATCTTCCATATACAGTACAGTACTGTATATATTATTTGATACCTTTCTCGTCTCCTTTCCAGAGTACATTTTGAGAGCTTTGAGACGGTCCCAATAATTTAGATGTTTTATCATTTATGTGTGTGCCATATATGTTCTCTGTATTCCCTCTAAGAGATCTCTTTTGCTCTAAAATGGAAAGTAAGTACCGAGAAATATTCAAGACGGGACAGCACCAGTGATTTAAATACCTGCTTGATGGGGTTCTGGGAGTTGTTTTACTCCCCAAGTCCTGCCCAAGGCCAGGCTTGATTTGCGAGAGCTTGGTCCAACAGGCTGTTGCTTAGAGCAGCCTGCAGTCTCACATATCCACCACAGCCCAGTTGGTCCGGCAATTCTTGAAAAAAACAATCTAGTTTTTTCTTGAAGATGTCCATGGTGGTTCCTGCAATATTTCTTATACTCGCTGGATATAAGCGAGTATAAGAAAGTTACTATTGTGAAAAGTAATTTCAGCCTACTGCTGAAATTACTTTTCACAAAATCTCTGGACCAAGAGATAGTCCCCCTTGAATGGAAATATTGTATGCAAATGTCACTATTATCAAAAAAGACAGAAAGAGCTCAGCAGAAAGCTATCAGCCAATCAGCCTGACATCACACACCTGCAAGCTCACGGAGAGAATTCTTGGGGAGGAAATCATTCACTATCTTTCAGTGAACAATCTTGTACAATCGGCACAACATGAGTTTATTAAAAATAGATCCTGCCTTACAAACCTGCTCACATTTTTGGAAACGGTCACCAGCTACTCAGACAAAGGACTTCCAGTGTATATAGTACATGGATTTTGCTAAAGCCTTTGATAAGGTACCACATGAAAGACTGACAAGGAAATTACAGGCCCATGGAATAAATTGTAAAATACTAGAATGGATAAAACAATGGTTGAAACAAAGAAAACAAAGGGATATGCTAAATGGGAATGAATCTGAAATGTGGTAAGTGATATACCACTGGGATCCATTTTGGGGCCAACCCTTTTTATCATATACCTGTACATTAATGACATAGATGAGAATATTACAAACCACATCAAATTTCCAGATGACAAAGTTTCATGGTAAAGTGAGAAACAATAATGATATTGAAGCCTTACAAAGAGATATACAGTACATTAACTTGCACATGGGGGAATAACAACCCACGCCACAACTACAAAATTAATGCCATTACATTACAGCACATTGATGGAGAAAAGGATCTTGGTATCAAAATCCACTACTCACTAAAAGTTGCACAACAGGTAAGAGCAGCAGTCAGAAAAGTTAACCATACCCTCAGAATAATTAAGCGTGCACCCCCATTTGGACTGCTATATCCAGCAGCCCATCCTCCTGTTTTGGTAGTACTGTACAATGGAACCTCGATTTACAAATGCCCCTACTTACAAATTTTTTGAGTTACAACCGCAATTGTCGGAAAATTTGACTCTACTTACGACCTTTGCCTCGACTTGTGACTTTGTTGATACACGTATGGGTCAACCGAGCGCCTGATTCCTGATGGCACTGGCGACCCTGCTTCAGTTTACCAGACTGCCTGCTTACTGACTATTGTGCTTGAATTCTTTGTAAACAATTTCACTGTTTTTCAGCTTTACTGCTTTCCCAAACATAAAAGTCATTATTATATACTGTACCTTGCCATGGGTTCCTCAACAATTAAGAAGTAGTACGCAGTATGGGAAGAAAAGCAAAGTTTTGTTGAAACGACACCCAAATCAAGCTGCAGTAGGATGTTGCCTTAACCTTTTTAATGACATGGTGATGCCTCAATACAGACAAATGTTAAAACACAGGGAAAATCAAGTCTCTATGAAAAGGTTCTTAGTGAGAAAAACGAGCAGTGAGTCACAACGAGGTCCTAGTGGTATGCCTGCAAAACGTAGGAGATTGTACCCCAGAGAAGTCATCACTGCCTGATGTTATAATGGAAGAGGATTCCTCTTCCAAACAGTAACACCACCACTCCTTCCCCCTCCTCACTGTCTTCCAAACATCCATAAGAGTTAGGGGCCTGACAACTGAGTGGACAACGCTTTGGATTCATAGCCCTGAGGTTCCGGGTTAGATCCCCAGTGGAGACGGAAACCAAATGGGCAGAGTTTCTTTCACCCTGATGCCCTGGTTACCTAACAGTAAATAGATAGCTGCTACGGGCTGCTTCCTGGGGGTGTGTAGCAAAATGGAGGCCTGGTTGAGGACCAGGCCACGGAGACGCTAAGCCCCTGAAATCAACTCAAGATGACCAAGATAACATCAATAAAGGTAAGCTATAACTTGTACATACTATAGTACAAAATGTGTGTGTGTATTATGTATGAAATGTATTTTGATGTTAATATTTTTGGGAGTGTGGAACGGATTAATTCAATTTACATTATTTCTTATGGGAAAATTAGTTTTGAGTTACGACCCGTATCTAGGAATGGAATAAATTCGTAAATGGAGGGGCCACTGTACTTATAGTAATAATGAGGACCATAGTATATATACCGACGTACAAAAAATTTGAAAGTAAAAATCTGAACTATTAAGTTGGACAAACTAGAAAACTATTTTTTACTTATGTTGCTTGACAAACTAAACCTAACCTAACCTAACCTTCCTAAGCCTAATACACAATATTTGAGGCCTAATATAGTACATGTTTGTGCTATACTAGGCCTAGGAATATTTGTTTTTTAGCTTCATTTATTTGAAAAGAATTCCTTACTAGTCAGTGTACAGTACTGTACTTCAATCTAAAAGCTACATATGCACGAATTCGTGACTATTGGCGACCATCACAATAGGTACTATCTAAACAGGAGGATGGGTTTGGCATTCAGGCATGGAGACCTCACTTACAGAAGGACACAGCTGTTCAGGAGACTGGGCAACAAAAGTCATTCCCGAGCGAAGTTATCTTACATATCAGGAAGGGTTGAGGGCCTAACAACACTGCAAACCAGGCATGACAGGACAAATCGCATTGAAACTTTTAAAATACTAAACTAGTTGGAGGAGGTTGATCCGGACAATTTCTTCAAAAGGTCAGATGTAGCACAAACAAGGAGCAACAGTTTCCAGCTCAACAAACCTCAAGGTAGGACTGAGAACAAGAGATGGTTTTTCATCCACAGGGTTATAAACCCATGGCACCATCTACTTGCCAATGCCGTAAATGCCAAAACTCTTAGCTTCTAAAATCCAACTAGATAGGATCATCAAAGCAAATGGGGGGACCATCAACAAGCCGCTGGGTTCCTGTCCTTATCAAGGCCACTAGTGTTGGTGGCCCTCAGGCAAATCCAGATACAGTACAGTGTACTGTACATTTTACATGACAAAATATATAGATTAACACCTAGCTGTGTTTTGATTATCCCCTTTACCTGCTTGACAGGGTTTTAGGAGTTCTCCAGTCCCTTGTCCCCTGCCAATGTTGGTAGCCTCACTGTAGGACGACTGGTGCATCCAAATGATATATTGGTGCACATAATGACATACAGTATATACTTGACAAATATAACCAGTATACAATTTATGTAACTTGAAGATATATATACTAAAACATATTGAATTACAATAGTGCAATAGTTATACTGAGAGTGAACTTGATCAACATCAAGAGGCCCAAGACTTTTCAACACTCTCCCTCTAAACATGAAGGGCATAACTAGCTGATCTTTTATGGTATTCAAAGGAACTTGATAAACACCTCTGAAGGATTTTTTATTAACCATTCTGTGATTCATACATCAAGCTGTAATTAACAGCCTGGAAGATCAAACAACCAACCAGGACACCTGGCCATTGACTGGGAGGCGTGCACGATGAGTCTCGGAATCAACAACAGGTAAATAAATCCACAAGGGCCATGACGAGGATTCGAACCTACGTCCAAGAGCATCCCAGACGCTGCCTTAATCGACTGAGCTATGACATTGTATAAGAATTGCAACCAGAAATTCTACTGAATTTACTTGGACATATCGGTATGTTTAATGACAACATTTTAATTACCCAAGTATAGAAAAAATTTAGACTTAAAAAACGGCAGTCACATCTAACAGAATGAAGTGAACGAGTCAGAGACCTAAGAATACCTGTAATAGTGTAAGAAGACAACAGTTTGTTTCCCATTGTCAAGGACAGGACATCTGTTAGGCTTGCCCCCCCCCCCCTGGATTCAAGTTCCCCAACACGGGAATCAAGGATTCAAGGTCCCCAACCTTGTGTTTCAACAGGCTGTTGCTTGGAGCAGCCTGCATGCCCACATATCCACCACAGCCCGGTTGGTCCGGCACTTTTTTAAGACGGCACTTCTCGAAGAAAACTATCTAGTTTTCTCTTGATATCCACAACTGTTCCGGCAATATTTCTTATGCTAGCTGGGAGGATGTTGAATAACCGTGGACCTCTGATGTTTATAGTGTTCTCTGATTGTGCCTATGGCACCCCTGCTCTTCACTGGTTCTATTCTGCATTTTCTTCCATGTCGTTCACTCAATCGTTTAGCACTTTACCATGGCATAAATAATCCATGGATGTTACAATGCAACAGGTTATTAGACACGTTATTCATGCTTAAAGACGCGTGATGAATAATGATGCCAACAGTGTATGATGTGTAGACCTGCTCAGCCTAGATGTTTCCTGCCTCGCTGGGGTTACACAATACGATTCAAATAGAATAAGAGCCTATACAAGTCCAGCTGGTTAAAGAGGAACGCCCAATACTGTAGGGCTCATCATTCAATGACTACCTAATAGTGTGGTGGGCAAATAATCCTCACCATTAGCCCTGTGGCCCACATCCCTCCCAGCGACCCCTAGAGAACCACAACAAACTTTTCATGAATTACATTCCCTTACCTGGTTGAAAGCGAATAATTCCTTTTGCTTCTGTATTCGTTCCGGACTAATTTTTTGTTGGTGTTTCATAAATTTTAACATGATGCCGGTAGCTTCACACTCGGCTTTATAAACCAATGGTCCTCCGGAATCCGCACCAAGCACATACGATCCCCTAAACCGACAAAACAACACTGACGAAAAAGTTAAACCTCGAATAATATTCGGACATTGACGCGAAACACATAAAATCTAAATCTCTATCACTCATTATATGTAAAGGATGAAAATATGTTTAGAGAAAATAAATATATATTGCGATGCTTTTTTCTTATCAGCGCCACCAGGGCCCTCTATAAACTTTTGACTCCGACAAACTTTACGGTACTTATTGTTGTCATTGGAGTTACCTGTGAAGCGACCCTACCCACCCATTTATATTAATGTTTCTCTGCTTGATGCTCGTTTCATCTCAAATATAAAAATATTTCTGATCTAAATAATAATTAAAATTATTTATGCCCCTGGAACTAATCAACTATCGCCATCATTTTATAATGTATAACAAAATCGAGGGAATGAGAGTAACATTTTGTGAGGCGCGCCAAGCTGGCCGAGACGCGGCACCGTCCCCTGTGTTCCTCCGCCAGTCTGAATGAGAATTAATTCTCAGTGTGAACGCTCTCATTTGGTGACACTTTTTATTCTTCAATTGTCTCTTTGTGTCCACGAACAAGTCACGTTTTTTTAGACAGCTTGTTTGCTACTAAATGACTGAAATATATTTCAGTTATTTAGTAGCAAAGATTATATATTCTTGCCTACAGGTATAATGAGTCATCATACCCTCGCACCTGCTTCACTGTCTTGGCTGGGATAACACAATGTATGTCATATATCAAAGAGGAAACAATAATGTTTCCACCTTGTGGTGATTTATATAAAAGAATTTACAGATTTCAAAGTTACTTCAAATGACCGTTTATTTAGAAAACGAAAATTGATGAAAAACAACGAATTATAATCGAAACTTGTTGACGAGCGGTCATCATATCTTCCTGGAACTGTCATTGTCACTTGGGAACTTTCTCTTCTTCTACAAGATGTGCAAAGTTTCATTAAGCCTTACACTCTTTCTAGCTTCTTTAAACGTGTGAACCAAAGGCAAATGGTGAATTATCTCGAGCCCTCTAATTCATACACTGGTTTATCTTGTAAGTAAATACAGGTGTCTCATCATCATCTGCTTAATTATTTCGTTTCGCATATAAGTTATTGTTTGTTTTGGCCTCGTCTCGACCAAGCCAGCTGTAAACAGCACAAGGAACCGCATGTAATGACAATATTTCTGCAGAACAAGAAGCATGATGCACGAGGCCGGCAGTGTTACTGAGAGTGACAAGTTAAGTGAAGAAGAGCGTGGTTATGGCAGCGCTCTTGAAGGCCAAGGTGAGGTACTGGGTGGGCGGGGCATTATACCTGCCACAGTCTCAACACCACCACACTCTCGCCCAGTGTATCACTCCACTACACCAGTACAGCTCTCCTGCTGTTTTACTTTGTGATCTCCTTGCCCTTGCGTCTGTCTGTTATCCTCAAGAAAGCCTTTGAACTGGCTGGCGCCCCAGCTATTCTCTGCTGCCTCGTTGACAAAGATGTCAAAAGCAACCGGCATAATAAATGAACTAAACTAACTAACTAACTTTCCTGGACCAAAAACTGGACATAAACAGAGAAGCAAGAGTGAAACTTCATGGCACAGTCTCTGAATACAAAAAGACATGAAAACGGTGCACCACAAGGAGGCATTCTCAGTCCCCTACTCTTCAACAATTTAATGAAAAGAATAATGAGGCTGAAACTCCCACAACACTGCAGGCTGCTAAACTACGCGGACGACTTTGTCATCATCATAAAAGGAAGGGATGCGGCGCGCCTTGCACCCAAATGCTTAGACTACATCAGTGAAGAGGCAAAGCATATTGGTATAAAACTCAACCCCACCAAGACAAAAGCCATGCCCATAAAAATAGTGAAGACCCACAACCAACTCAAACTATAGGGTTAGCCAATTGAATGGGTGGACACTTGTTAGAATCTAGGAATAATCTTGGACACATTAATTTTAATGTTGAGGTCACTTACTGGAGAGAGAGAACTGCGGCCCGGACGGCAATCCTCAGGTACCTAACCTCCTTCTCTGGAGGAGCCAATCTACAAGTCCTTCGCACATACTATGTACAGGCAGTCAGATCAGTGATCGACTATGCCGCACCTGCACTCACAAGCCTATCACACCAACAGTGAAAAAAGCTTGAAGTTGCCCAAAACAATGGCCTTACCAATACCAATAACTCCCTTACTCCATTGTACCCCTGGCTTTGCCTGTGTCTCAAAATGCAAATTATTACTTACAGTGTACCTGAGAGTACTTGTAAGCAATCTACCTCATTTTTCTTTTTTTGTTCATTTTGTGTTTGTCTTGTTTATATTTTTATTTCCCCCCCCCCTTTTATATCAAAATTTTGTTTTGTAATTGCCATTCTTGCCTTGTTTTCCTACAACCAGCCTTCTTATGCAAACAAGTATAGACCCAGAACTAAACCTCTTATCCACTATCTATGACAATCATCATTGCCCGAAACGCATTGCGTAATAGTGGCTTTAGGCATTGTATGTACTAGATCTATCTATATATCAATCCATTAATGTAACATCACTTGTATGTATATACCTTACCTGAATAAACATCTGAATCTGAATCTGAATCTGAATCTGAATCATCACTTTAATGATCAAAATTGCAGATATTTTACAGCTCATGATGTAAACAATGTATTAACACATAATCACAATATCTCTGTAATTAACTTGACTGTAAGATCACTAAGCAAACACTTCGATGATGTTAGTGCCTTGATTGAAACTGTTAACAACAAATTCTCTTTTATTATACTTACTGAAACGTGGTTAAAAGAGGACACTACTCAACTCTTTAGCATGCCAAACTACTCAGCAATTCACAACTGTCGACCAATTCAGAGAGGTGGTGGTACTGCTCTTTACTACCACCAAGAACCAACATGCTTAAAAGTAATTAGAACTAGAGACTACTGTGGGGAGTATATCTTCGCCAGTTTCAGAGTCAAGGGTGCTGAGTCTGTCCTGACTGTGGGAGCAGTCTATAGAATTCCTAACACTGATGTGTCCGAATTTAACTCTAATCTTAGAAATCTAATACTAGATAACAGACTGAACAAAAACCATCTAATTATCGCAGGGGACTTTAATATTGACCTCTGCGAGCCTGAAAATCCTACTGCTGCCAGCTTCCTCAACTGTATGAATTCATGCTTCCTCATATCCTTAATCACTAAACCTACTAGAATCACTGATAGTACTGCCACAGCTCTTGATCACATCTGGACCAACATAACCTCTCCGCTTACTTCAGGGATAATCATCGATAGCACTACAGACCATTACCCCACATTTCTCCTAACTAACATCAACAAACCACCTCTAGAGACAAGGGAGATAAGCTTTAGGCTGCACAATGAAACTGCTATAGGCAATTTTATAGCTGCTACTGCTAATATCAACTGGGAATCCGGAGTAGGTAACATAGGGGACATCAACCTAGCAGTGCAATCTTTTCTTAAAAAAACTCTCAGCCTTTATAACACCCACTGTCCTATGCTAACGAAACAAGTCACAACTAAAAGGCTAAACAATCCTTGGCTTACAAAGGGGATACTTAAATCCATTAATAAAAAACATGACCTTGAGAAGAAGTATAGGTTAGGAATCGTCTCCAAAGAATTTTCAAAGAATTACTCATCATTGCTATCTAAAATAATTAGGAGAGCCAAAATTAAATACTACGAAGATAAATTTAGCCACACAAAGGGCAACATTAAGAAAACATGGAGCACAATTTCACAAATATTGGGATCAAAAAAGATTTTAAATAACAAACCAATACTCCTGCCTCATAATGGTGGCCTGCTTTCAGCTGTCACTGCTTTTCAGCTCAATAGGTTCTTCTCTTCCATTGGGTCATCCCTTGCAAATGATATTCCATCTTCCAGTACTGATATTCAGGACTATCTTACAGGTAACTATCCACAGTCTCTGTACCTAATGCCTACTAATTCCACTGATGTTCCTGACATAATCCTTTCCCTTAAAACCAAGTCTAGTGCCCTTGAGGAGATACCAACTCTTATTTACAAAAAAAACTCCAGATTTTTAGCTCCTGCCATTGCATTGCTCTTCAACAAGTCACTTGAACTCCAAACCTTTCCGGATATTCTAAAAAAAAAGCGAGAGTAACCCCTGTCCACAAATGTGGTGATCTCACTGATGTTAACAACTTCAGACCTATATCAATTCTGCCAAACTTGTCTAAAATATTTGAAAAACTTATCTACAAGCAGCTTTACTCTTATCTAGCCAAACACAATATACTTAGCTCTTGTCAATATGGCTTCAGACCCAAAAAACGCACTAACGATGCACTTATTTGTATGATTAACTTGATACATACAGCTCTTGATAAAAATGAGTTCCCTATTGGGTTATTTGTGGACCTGCGTAAGGCTTTTGACACTGTCAACCACCAAAACCTTCTTCTTAAATTACAACATTATGGAGTCAGAGGTCACTCCCTGCAGTACCTTAAGTCTTACCTTACTGACAGGCTCCAGTATGTTTCTGTGAATAATTCAATTTCTCCCACCCTACCCATCAACATTGGTGTTCCCCAAGGCAGCATACTTGGCCCTCTCCTCTTTCTCATCTACATTAATGACCTCCCAAATGCGTCCCAACATCTCAAACCAATTCTATTTGCTGATGACACAACCTTCATTTACTCCAGTCCTGACCCCATTGCTCTAAATGTCACAGTGAATACTGAGCTAAATAAAGTCCATCACTGGCTAACTGCCAACAAACTCACCCTCAATATTGACAAAGCTTTCTATATTTTGTTTGGTAATAAATCCTCAAATCAAATAAATCTCAGGATTAACAATACCCAAATTTGTAACAAAGTAGATGGCAAATTCCTTGGCGTTCTCATTGTCCGCAAGCTGAATTTCCAGGGACACAACAAAATATATCAAAAAAAGTTTCAAAAACTGTTGGCATTCTTTCTAAGATCAGATATTATAATAATAATAATAATAATAATAATAATAATAATA